GTCGTCTCTCTCCTCCTCCTCTCTCTCTCTCTCTCTCTCTCTCTCTCTCTCTCTCATTTTGACCAAAACTTCCATTCTGTACCCTAGAAACCTTCCTATGTAATATGCTATGATTGGCAGCTCACTGCTAAACAGAGACTAGCAGAGGGATGGCACGGGTGCTGTCAGTGAGGACAGACTAGCGTAGGAAAATCTGCACAGCAGCTGCTTACACTGGGCCTGATTCATCCTGGTGCTGATGCTGAGACCAGTGCAAAAACTGAGGATGGTGTCTCCCTGACACTGGGGATCCCTGAAACTGGTTTGGTCTTGGGCTGCCTTAACTTGTACCCTGGCTGCAATGGTCTCTCTCTGGGTAGCCCTAGCAGCCAAGCATGGGTGGGACATAAGACATCTCTCCCTTTATCAGCATACCTTTTACACTGGAGGTGGCTGCAGGTGGTGGAATAGAGGCAACTATGCCAACTGTTCACCTACTGGGGAGGCCTTCTATGGAATTGGTATTTTCAGAGAGATCCCTTTGCAGCAACACAAAGTGGCTTTAGCATGGGGAGGAGGGGATGAATTCCCATCTTTGGCCAGCACTACCAGTTCTTGATTTTAAGAGCACCAAATTCACCTGTTTGATTAAAAAAAAAAGACATGGAGAGATTATTATGAAAATTAACAAGAAAGCCTGAGAGAGAGCCTCTTTTCAGCCTATAGAAAGGCTGATAATTTAGTTAACATCGACACTCTTCATTTTGATGCCCCAGGTTTTATAGAAGACAAATGCCACAGCACAGAAGCACCTCCAGATGTCTCTTCTGTCCAGTGTGCTGTTACACTCTTCAAAAAAGAAGTCTGTTTGTAAAGAGCAAAGGGAATTGTTGAACCAAGAATCCCTCTCAAACCATGCAAAATGTACCAGATTCAGAGCAGAGGGATTTATGTGATTCTTCAATCAATTGAAGAACTGACCGGGAGTGGGGAGAGGTTGCGCTCCCTGAGTTTTCTTTTGAGTTTGGGATTTAGGTGAGCTGCAAAGCTCAAAGTATAATCCATCAAAATTGCTGAGTTTCACCTCGTTTTGCATTGAAACCCTGTAAATCCACAAGTTTTGCATAGTTTTGACACAAAACCATGAGATGGCCTGGGCACAAGTGTTTGTGAACATTAGCAGACTGTACCACAAATGTGGGGTGATTTTTCCAGTTTGCAACAAAACACAAAGTACACTGAAGGGTTAACAAAAATGTTACTCAACTCCATCCCATCCTCTAACGCCACATAATTAGATGGGACACTTTGACAAATGTCCTTAGTTTGCAGTGATGGTTTCCAAATTTTTTTCTTTTGAATTAACATTTTGAAATGCTAATCTGCAACAGTGGGCCAAATTCATACTGATGCAAACCCACTGAAATGAATGGAATTGCATCAGGAATGAACTTAGCCTTGCCCTAAATGCTTAAGTCCAGCAGCATAATGCCATTACCCTTGCTAAATATAGCCTGTCAAATACAGCATTGGTAACAGCACATATTTGGAGGTCTCAGTCTTCTGCAGGTCATCTGTAATAGTTATGCAAGGTAAAAGCGTATTTTTAACATTACTTTTTGCACCACCCTATCTCTAAGTAACAAAACATTTTGTGGGATATAATATAACACGAGTGTTAACTTATTGCAATTGTGATTTTTCAAACTTTCAGATGAATAGGGATAAAAACTCACAAGAGAATAATAAAAAACAGGTTTTATCAGTTTGGCTGATAATGCAGTTCTGTTGATTTGTGTGGCAGCATTTCCAATTACAGCCCTCTAGTTTATGGACTCCAAAGTCTGTCCAGAATTAGAAAGAAGGTATTAACAGAAAAAGATTAAAGGTTCATGGTTAGGAATGACAATCTTCTTATGACGTTATAGGTGACATGACAACATGAAATAGTGAAGCAGCTTGTGAAAGTGCTTAGTTAATAGCATAAAGAAAGGAGATTTCGCTTTGCCAAATACACAATGTTGCAACTGAAAAAAAAAATCAAGCACAGCATTTTAGGGTTTTTATACTTCCTTTTTCCATAATCTTTTTCATTTTGTGTAGAAAAGCAAAATGTATAAGAACTATTAAAATATACACAATGAAACATAACCTGCCTTCCTATATATCAAATGATGCTATTCAAGGTCCTCTATTCCATAATTACAAGACAAGTAGGCCTTATCAATAATATGGCACACACAGGTTCACAGAGTGGTACTGCTCTCAGTGTTCTTTCTTCTGAAATGTCCAACTGAATAAAACAAAGGATATACAGACAAATTGTTATATATGTGTATGTTATGTCCTAGGATAACATAATAGGTAGCCCATTAAGGAAAAGACCCACTAACAGTAAACATACACAGTAAATATTGCTTTATTTTAAAAGGTGATTTACAAAGGAAAGAAAATGGATTTGTATTATTTTTTGCATCTATATGATGCATGAAGCAAACCTGAATGGTTTTGATTTTCTTTCTTTAGTTCTTCTTTTTTTCTGCTTTTTTTAAACATTAGAAATTCAGATCTGTCTACCCTATATTTTCCTGAGAATCTGTGGAGATCTGGCGAACTAGTAGGTTTATGATATCAGAAATACTAGACAAGTGAAACCTAATTAATTGAGAGGGAAAGTGATTTTTATTCAGTCTGTTTAAAAATCTTGTTGTTGTTATTGTTATCACCTATTTAATACAAATGCCCGAGAAACACTTGGGAGAAAATACATCTTTGTCAGAGATTCAACAACCCACCTCTTCAACTGAGGAGTAAGAAAGCTCAAAATCCACATTTCTGAGACCTCTAACAAGTCATCCCAAAAACCCACTAAGAACAAGACTTGACATTCCTGATATTTCTTAGGTAAAAACCAAGCAATAATAAAAAAACAGATATATGAAAATGGGATCCTTTCAAGACCTCTTTATATCATAATTAGGGCTGTCAAGTGATTGAAAAAATTAATCGTGTGATTAATCGCGCTGTTAAACAATAAAAGAATACCATTTATTTTAATATTGGATGTTTTCTACATTTTCAAATATATTGATTTCAATTACAACACGGAATACAAAGTGTACAGTGCTCATTTTATATTTATTTTTTATTACAAGTATATACACTGTAAAAAAACAAAAGAAATAGCATTTTTCAGTTCACCTAATGCAAGTACTGTAGTGCAATCTCGTTATCATGAAAGTTGAAACTTACAAATGTACAGTTATGTACAAAAAAATTGCATTCAAAAATAAACAAAGTCCACTCAGTCCTACTTCTTGTTCAGCTAGTAGCTCAGACAAACAAGTTTGTTTACATTTGCAGGAGATAATGTCCACTTCTTGTTTACAATGTCACCTGAAAGTGAGAACAGGCATTCTCATGGGACCATTGTAGCCGGCGTCGCAAGAAATTTACCTGCCAGATGTGCTAAAGATTCATATGTCCCTTCATGCTTCAACCACCATTCCCGGGGACATGTGTCCATGCTGATGACGGTTCTGCTCAATAACAATCCAAGCAGTGCGGACAGACACATGTTCATTTTCATTATCTGAGTTAGATGCCACCAGCAGATTTTCTTTTTTGGTGGTTCAGGTTCTGTTGTTTCCGCATCTGAGTGTTGCTCTTTTAAGACTTCTGAAAGCATGCTCAACACCTCATCCCTCTCAGATTTTGGGAAGGCACGTCAGATTCTTAAATCTTGGGTCAGGTGCTGTAGCTATCTTTAGAAATCTCACATTGCTACCTTTGCATTTTGTGAAATCTGCAGTGAAAGTGTTCTTAAAATGAACATGTGCTGGGTCTTTATCTGAGACTGCTATAACATGAAATATATGCCAGAATGCGGGTAAAACAGAGCAGGGACGTACAATTCCCACCCGCACCCCCAAAGGAGTTCAGTCACAAATTTAATTAACGCATTTTTTTTAACGAGCATTATCAGCATGGAAACACGTCCTCTGGAATGGTGGCTGAAGCATGAAGGGGCATACGAATATTTAGCATATCTGCCACATAAATACCTTGCAATGCCGGCTACAAAACTGCCATGCAAATGCCTCTTCTCACTTTTAGGTGAAATTGTAAATAAGAAGAGGGCAGCATTATCTCCTGTAAATGTAAACAAACTTGTTTGTCTTAGCGATTGGCTGAACAAGAAGTAGGACTGAGTGGACTTGTAGGCTCTGAAGTTTTACATTGTTTTGTTTTTGAGTGCAATTATGTAACAAAAAAATCTACATTTATAAGTTGCACTTTCACGACAAAGATTGTACTACAGTACTTGTATGAGGTGAATTGAAAAATACTATTTCTTTTATCATTTTTACAGTGTAAATATTGTAATCAAAAATAATATGCACTTTGATTTCAATTACAACACAGAATATAATATATATGAAAATGTGGAAAAACATTCAAAATATTTAATACATTTCAATTGGTATTCTATTGTTTAACAAGGTGATTAAAACTGTGATTAATCATGATTAATTTTTTTAATCGCGATTTTTTTGAGTTAATCATGTGAGTTAGCTGTGATTAATCGACAGCCCTAATCATAATTAGGAGTGGGGAAAAGTACAAAGTCATTTTTTCTTCTGCATGTCACCTGAATTTAGAGCTGCTGAACAGTGCTGGATTGAAAGCCCTGGAGATGGAAGTTTCTATTTATCCCCAAAACAAATATAGCATAGGTACTTTCTTAATCATTTATTTTAATTTTTGTCATTCCTTCATCATTTGGGAGGAGGGAATGAGCAGATGGATGAGCAGAAGTAGATGGCATTGGAGCATAGGTTAGTTGTGGAAGGCTAGACAAAAAAGTTTTGAGGAGGAAAGTGGGGGTGCTTAGGGGACATCCACATTAGCAAAAATTGAATTTGTTTTTCACTATCACTGAGCAGGGTTAGTAAAAATGCCGGAGCCCTTTGTACACTAGGACTTCCATTAATGTTACCATTGGGGAAGCTTCACTTACAGTGGATTGCCAGATATGAATTTTGCTAGTATAGACAAGGTTTTAATGCCAAGGAAAAGGAAGGCTAATTTGCTGGACTTTTAAAGTGTGATTGTATATTGTATGTAATCACATCAGTACATTCATTTTCTTTAATGCTCAATTTCTTTATAGGTTCTTCTTGGATTGTTCTCACTGCAGACAGCGAAGGCTTTGTTCCATTAATGTTCAAAGCAAAACAAGAGATAATCATAAGGGATGGAAGTGACAGTTCAGAAGTCTGTGGAAGTCACTCCTGCAAAAACAGCATGTCTATACAACCACCAAGCAGTGTGACATAATTTCAGGATGAAGAATGCGAATGCCCTTCTGTTATGAGACGATAAAAAAAGACATTCTGCAGTATCAGAAACTGCATGACTAGAAAACTGTCTCCCATATATTCAGTGCGTTGAAACTGTAATACATGTGGCCCAGTTTCACAGTAGTTAGATCCTATCTGGGCTTCCATGGTCCCTGCTGCAGAATCAGCTCTAGATTCATGTCTATTTCATCTGACACTCATAAGGCTTGTGGCAGGTTTTGAGCAGTGGGTGGGAAAGACTGTTTCTCTGTAGCTGGTACTTTAATTCTGTTCAAGATATTCTTGGAGTGGCAAGTTAAAATCGTGTGATGAAAATAATGGATAAATATCAAGAGTGGGTGGGGCAACTCAGCAGTAACAGGTACACCTTTTGTACTAAAAGCTGGTGTTACTGAAGGAAGTTTTTAAAGTTCATTTCTGTTTATTAACATACACAGAAAGCTGTCACTTTTTTGGCTTGGCAACAGTTTGCTGCTCCAGTGGATCCTAGGGAAACTTGCAGCATTTTGGAGAAATACATGATTTTTATGTGAAGATGCATGACTGTTAAAAGAGCTATATCAGTGTCTCATCTGCCATGAGGATTTGTATAGCGGAACCTAGGAAAACAACTATTTAGCATGCAATAAAGGAGGAAAAAAAAGGTAAAGCAAGGATCGAAGACATTCAAAGACACTACGTAATACAGGCACATCCTGGGAGCAGATGGACCGATTTGTGGGAGCTCAAACTATAATGATTATGAGGATGAGAGAAGGAACAACAAAGGAATTGAATAAACTCTCACTGTTTTTCCAGGAAGTGGGGAGGGAAGGGTGAAGTGTTACAGTCCATCCTGTGTGTGGCTACTGCTTCTCCTACTGGGTATGCACTGACAGAAAGTATGGAGAGGCATACCTGTTTCATCCTTTGTGCTAAAGGAATGAAGGATGAATTTTTATGTAATCTTTTCCCAACACATTTTAGTCCTTAAGTTTGTTATAAACATTTATCTTCACAGTCTGAATTTTTGTCTCTGTGAATATCTCTGAGAAGTGTTTTCCCTGCACCTTGGGAATCTTGGTAACATTGTTTATATAGCAGACATATGGTAAAATCTATGTGATAAACCGCATTTATCATACAACTCATTTCACTTGCACTCTCCCCATAAATGAATCTCCTCCTGGGACTTATTCTAACATTCCACAGTACTGAGCAATAAAAGACATGTTTCTTTCTATTCCCCCAAAATGTGGGATTTCTCTTCCAAAATTACATAAGCCTATGGCTCGAGATGGGCAATAATCAGTCTTCTACCAATGAAAGGTTTAAGGTTCAATATCACATATCAGGGCCAGCAATGGAAGCTTTAAACCATCAGTTTAAAGGCAAGAATTTTTCTACCCCTTTCCCAATACCATACGGCTAATACTGGTAGGTCACAAAATCTTGGACCTTAAAATCCCAGCATTGCTAGCGGGGAAAAGTATGTAAAAATAATTTTAGGTAATTTTTAGAGGTTTTTAAAATGTGGCCTCTCCAAGACCAGTACCATTGGACTCTTATACTAAGGTAGCCTCTGTCCCTTAACATTGGGTAAAAGGGCCAGAGCAGCATCTAGGGCTCTAAAAATCTCAAATCCAGCTAGGGGGGCCAATTCCTTGAGAGGCTTTCTGAGGACTCTTTACAAGCCCTGGTGTAGGAGATGTGTTGGGTGTGGGGCTGGAAGCAGGAAGTGTGTGTCAACAGCAGGGCTGTAGCATGCAGCACTGTGGAAATTCCAGGCAGCAGTGCAGTCCACAGGGCCAGCCCAGGGAGGCAGCTGTAACTTAGACAGGCTCCGTAATTTATTCCAGGGGCCACTCCACCCCCCAGAATAACCAGGGGTCAAGAGGACACAAAGATGGTTTAAAGCCACCTTAGCAGCACTCATTCCCTCTGTGCTGCACCTCTTAGAATAGCAGTATCATCGTAGCACTGCCAGAAAAGGGTGATCTTACTCCATGTATGCACTGGAGAGGTACTGTGCTATTATCAATCCTGGGCAAAGTACTGGCTACTGTTATGCTGAATAGAATGAACAAGACAGTGGATGAAATGTTACGAGAAGAACAGGCGAGGTTCCATCCATGTAGCTCATGTTGTGAACAGATACTCACTCTTCAACAGATCATCAGCAAAGCTCCTCTTTGGCAAAACCCCATCTTAATCAACGTTAAGAAAGCACGAGATAGTGTCCACAGAGAGACACTGTGGAATATTGCTAGCAGTTATGGGATACCAGACAAGCTGATCAACATAATAAGGAGTTGATATGATGGAAGCAGACGTGCAGTAAGATCAGATACTGGGCTGGGTGAGTGGTTCGATATTATAACTGGAATTAGACAAGGGTGTGTGTTATCACCAATCCTTTTTGCATTAGCAATAGACTGTGTGATGAGCAACAAAAGGTGTAAAATGGGATCGTGGAGATGAGTTACATGATCTTGGCTTTGCCGACAACATTGCTTTACTAAGTACGACAGGGAATGGAATTATTGCCCTTATGTCAGAGAGAGAAGAGCAAGCAGCCCAAATTGGAAAGTAAATGCAGATAAAACCAAGATTATGAAGATAGGAAACTGGACAACAGATGCAAAGGTGTATGTGACTGGATAAGAAATCGAAGAGGTAGAAGAGTTCTGTAACCGGGAAGTGTGATGACATTTGAAGGTGGCTAAAATAAAGATGTTCATACGAGATTAGGAAAAGCAAACACCACTTTTGAAAGGATTAACAACATCTGGTCAAACAGAGGTCTCCACACCAAACTAAAGGTCAGATTATACCATGCAATTGTACTGAGCATGCCACTGTACAGAGCAAAGACACAGCCAATGACAGTGGCTAACAAAAAAAGATTGGAGGCTGGCTGTAATGGGAGCCCTCACCCCTGGAGTTCCCCCTGGCAGCTCCGTGCAGTGCCACCATTACATCCCTGCCTCAGTTTCCCCTGAAGGAAGGTTTTAATAAATCCTAGAAAGCTTATATCTTCAACAGCAGGATCTAGTTTATTCAACTCCAAAGACAGAACATCACACAAATAGGCCTCCCCCTCACCGTCACTATCTGCAGAGAGGAGGGGCTGAGTAACCCTTAGTAAACCTAAAATGTAGCATTGACATAGTGCAGTGCTCTAGCGTAGGTAGACCATAACAGATGTTACTCAAGTTGAACATATGAGCTGCTTTTCCATTACCTCACACAAAAGAGCACTGCACACACACATACACACACACACACACATGGTTGTGGGTTAGTGATTTTGAGCCTTTGATTTTTTACCAACCTGAGGTCATTCCACAATGTCTGTGTTAAATCCAGATTCAGTTTGCTTAGATTTACTTTTCCCCTGGTGTTATCATCTATTAGAGAATTGCCAGTATCTTGCTGTTACTGACATTTGGATGTGCTTACTGCAATACAACCTCGTTTTGCAGACAGCCAAAATTGTCCTTGAACTTTATGTCTCCACTATTATTTGACACATACGTATCAGCAGCCAGGTGTGATCAAATGTTTGGTGGCATGCGGTGCCAATACTTCTGTATTGGCACAGAAAGACTTCCTGCAGAGGAGATGACATTTGCAATGTTATGAAAACTTGCCACCGAAAACCATCAGTGCCTGACAACCTATGTCCTTTGGCAAGGATCCATCCAACTTGTCAGCAGACACCATGCTATCTTAACAGACGAGAGTTTATGCAGCCAAGAAAGGAATATATCTCTGTGTAATACTAGACACAAAACTGATTCATAGCTCCAGAAAAAAAGGCAAACCAGAATTTCACATTAGAGACCCCAATCATTTCCTTTAAATCAAACTAATACTTAAACCTTTACAAACAGGAAAAACATGAATGGTTTGTAAGAAGGCAATATACTAAGAGAATATAACATCCTATGAAGATATTTGTGATAATTTTGTTAACTTTCAGAAGAAAAGGAATGAAAAGTTGGACATGATAAAAGGCTCTAGCCATATAATTGAATTTTAGCCTTCTGCAATGATTACTTTTCACAATAGGAAAATCCTTTTGTTACAAACTGTTCACTCTTTAGAGACTAACAAATTTATTTGGACATAAGCTTTCGTGGGCTAAAACCCACTTCATCAGATGCATGGAGTGAAAAATACAGTAGGCAGGTGCATATATTACAGCACATAAAAAGATGGGAGTTGCCTTACCAAGTGGGGGGTCAATGATTGAATTGGCTCCGTTAGCACTGACTCCCCACTTGGTAAGGCAACTCCCATCTTTTCATGTGCTGTAATATATATACCTACCTACTGTATTTTTCTCTCCTTGCATCTGATGAAGTGGGTTTAGCCCATGAAAGCTTATGCCTA